TTGTACTCCCACAGTGATGCATGTTTACATTTAGCAGTAGCTGTGGAGTGTTTTTTCCCAGCCCTCCACACCACTTGTGTTTAGTCTGTCAGTAAGTAGTCTGATTTGGTAGCCTCTCTCCACCCCTTTGCCGTTTAATCAATTTGCAGGATTGTATAAACTCTTAGTGAGGGCGTCTTTGTCCTTTTGTTCTCCTCTCCCCCTCCCTGGAGAGCGTGGGTGGCGTTCTGCTGCCAGCCGGGCTTCGGCTCCAGGACTTATTTTATTCACACTTTTAATCGCTGAGTGCTTTATTATTAGGTATAGGAATTCCTCTGAACAGGGGATCGTCTAGAGAGGCCTCAGAAATACATTTAGTGCAATCATATTAACTGCACGCTAAAACAAATCCGTCAGGCGGTTCTTAACCCCCCGTTTGGCCGGTCTTCTGGTGATCCTTGTTGGTGTGTGAGGAGAGGGCGTCTCCATCACCATTCCAAGTCATCTTTCCCTCTTTGGACTCTCGACGTTTTTAAATCTAAATGATTTTTAGGTTCATATAGCAGTAGAATGTGTGTACAAGCTTTGCTAAATATGGTGTATATACAGTTATAAACTGATAATTGCAATATTGCAGGGCTCACACCTGCATTTTGAGAGTGAGTTTGGGAAATGTGTTCTGTGTGAGTGGAAACAATGCTGGACAGCAATGTAAATAGCCTCTTTGCATTGTACACATGCTTGTCTGTTAAGGGTGTGTGTTGATTTTTTTTTGTCGGTGCGGTTGGAATAACTAGAGTCGGAGATGAGCGGTGTCATTAGTAGGTTTTAGACTTGCTGTGTGTGTGTGGTAAGTCACATTGTTGCCAGATCTCGCTAGAAAAACAAGCAACTGGGTCTGACAAAACAAACCCAATATAACTCACTTTCCTTACCAAATAAGCCTAAACAAGCCCAAGTTCACGATTGTATTCTGGAAATAAGACCAAAAACATTGCAACGAGTCAATGAGCCCTAACATGCATATGGACAAGGCAACACTGCCTGTCATATAAATGTAAAAAATAAAAAGCCAGTTGTGAAGTGTTAACTAAGACTTTCTGGTCTTATAGAAGTCGCCATCTTTCATATTTATTTCCGTCACTGTCACTATGGTTACAGGTGTTATTCAAGGCTGTTAAAAGAATATGAAAGACTTGACTTCAGTTGCTCGTAGTAGTTCCACCTCAATTGAATCTCGGCAGTCAATGGCTCTTTTTGTGTGGCCTAGCAGTGCATGCTCTTTGTGGCCCTCATGTCGAAGGCACAGGTTTGATTCCAGCCGTGTCATGTTCTCTGTAGAAAAGAAAAAGTCGCCTAAAATTTAGTGCTATGTAGCTTTGTAGCTAATACATGTGACAGTAAGACAAATGAGCAATTCTGTTTGCACTTAATGTACTTAAGCAGTAAAACATCACTGTGTTTAATAGGTAAACCAATATACAGCTGGGTTTCTTCTTCAATATAAATTGACTCTAAAGGAAAGCGAGGACGAGGTAAAACCTGACAGATTTTAATCACCGCACTAATAAAACACAAACCACTTAAGCCGGGCTCAGACTACAGGAGTTTGTAAATCTTAACCAATTGTGAAATCTGGTTGCATCATGCACATAAGAAGAATCTTCACAGCTTTTCTTCTTTAAAAAAAAAAGCGTCCCCTTTCACGGGGAAGCGGATGTAACGGCTACTTGCTGTAGACATTATATGAGAAGACATTATAAAGGCAGTCGTGTTGTTGCCACATTTCCACCAGCCGTTGTCCACCAGACCCGTATAGATGCTTGTTGTTTCGCGGTCGCCATTTCAAAAGTTCCATCACGTCTCCTTGTAGACTTGTCTCTTATTGGCTATTGCGGAAGTACTGACGTAATCATAATCATCTCGATTTAAAAATCCTAAATATCAAACATGTTTGATATTGTCAGGGCGGCCCCCGATGTATTTGCGAGCAGATCGGGAGGTTTAAGATTGGATCTGTAAACGCCTCACATTACCAGATAATCTGGGCCGAACATTGGAACCAACCGATGCCCTGGATGCGATTTCTTTCTCAGAATGTCGGGAGGGGTAAATCGGGCCGAAATCGGCCTGAAACTCATGTAGTCGAGCCCGGCTTATTGACTCAAGGCTATCGGACACTGCCTTCACACCGAAATCAGAGAGACTTTTCCGAATGTTCACTGTTCTGTTTTTATTAGCACTGGGGAAAAGGCACGTAAATCCAGCATGCTTCCACATCCACACTGTTGGGGACGAAATGAAGACATTTCTGACAGGTTTTGTTTATCCAGTCATTTAGATGCTACATTTAGACACAATACATTTGACTGTATTTCTGTGTGCTTTTATCTTGTCCACCAAGCCTGCGAGCAGTTGAGCGGAAATTTGCATTAGTGGACGATTATGAATACCTGTGACAGATTCTCTCTCTCTCTTTCTCTAGACTCACAGGCTGCAAATGAATGGTCTCCTACTGTTGACTCGCATGGGAAGACAGGGACCAGGCAATTAGACTTTAGTAGTTAATGTAGAAGCTTCTGCAGGCAGGGCAAGCAGGTTCAACATTCCTGCTGGGCTGTCGCCAGGTTTTTTTCCTCCCCATCTCGGCTCTCTCACTTTCTCCCTTACTTTGGAAGGTATCACTTATGACAGCTAACCTGTTGATAAGCCCTTCGAGTTTATCTGAGGGTGAGGATGAAGGCGGGCCCCTCCACGTGGGGTCCCACAAGTGGAAGCGACTACAGCAAGATGCCGCTCGTATTCAACCTTCACAAGCTGTAATACGGTTTTCAGCTTGAATCTGTGCACTAGTACAGATCGAATAAGGAGTTAAAGAGATTCAGCCATCTCCGATAGTATAGTGTGACTAAATTTGTAATGAATTATTAAAGAAAGACCCAGATGTGTGCACTGTTGTTGTTGTTGTGCCTGCGGGGTTGTTGTCCAAGTGCTCTGTGCATTAAGCACGATTCTCATATCCCTGGTGGCTGTGTTTGTGTGTGCGTGCAGGCATGTGTGAAAGTGAACCTAGCTTAGGAGTGGCAGTAGGTAGACTGCCCAGAGCGCGATGTCTGGCCACTGGCTGATATGACAGGAACATGCTGGTCCTGTACTAGATTTAAAGTAAGGCCTGCAGGCCCCGTCTGACTTAAGTCAAACATATTGTCTCTAACAAGCCTCCAGCATGCCATGGAAATGCAGGCCTGTTGTTCTGTGTAGGTACAAGCTCGTTCTTGTGACCTTCAAATGAAAACTACAACACTCGCGCAGTGTGAGAAATTCAGATGTATTCATTTCAATTCATGTTAGACAGATGTGATGTGCAAGCATTGTTTCAAAAGTTTATTGTGGAAATACCCTGATGTAGTGCAATTTATTTATGTTAAATATATTTTATTATAGTGGCATGCAGGGCGGGGCCATGTTAGTTAATGCATTAACTAAAGTTAACTATTTCCCCGCCAGCAAAAAACAAACAAAAAATAATCTGCCAGCCACCACCAGCAATTTTGATATTTTTCACAAAAAAAAACTCATGGCCACCAGAATATTTAGTTTTTTGAATATCTGAACATGCAGTATATCAGAAGAACAGAACCTCCGCTTTTTAATTTATTTATAAGTTAACAAAACATTTTATTCTAGCTTCATGCATTCTTTTTTTATCAACGCTTGAATCTGGGTAAGTTTCATAAAAAAAACTCAATTTTAAACATTTTGTCAAACACTGCAACATGCACATAAAGCAATGCTTCTATCACTTGTTTCTGCTCATTCTTTGCCTGTGTTTTTATCTGGAGATTCAGTACTTTTTCAGAAGATGCGTAATAGCGTCCCTAACGTATAACAGTGAAAACATGGATTGGGAAACTAATGGGACCTTATTGTAAAGTGAAACCAATATTTTTATAAGCCCTTATTTTTTATGTTATTTCTTATTGAAATCACAGATTAGTTGTGCAGTATACATTAGGGACCAATGTATTGACTTTTTGGATTATCGTCATGTGCCTATTTCCCATTGTATAATGCAGATTTTCTCATGTTTTCCTTATTTAAACATACATAAATTATTCAGCATAATTCAAAATTATGAAGGGGGCAGCAAAGGTAATCGAAATATAAAATAGACAGAATTGAGTGTGCACAATAAAATACTCAGTATCAGCCAATATATGTCAACTATTACAATACAAATACAATATAAATGTCTCTGATAAATATTATGGCACCGTTATATTTCGCATCCCTAGTTTTCTTTGAATCAATGTTTCAGTTATTTATAGCATTACATTGATGAAATTTGCTGACATAAATGCTCAAGTGTAGATGTTATGTTACAGAGTGCATTTTTATAATAATGTTCTCTGAGAATGTCTGTTTTTACAGTCATCCCTGCGCGTCATCTTATTATTTCTCAGGCTCATTAAGTTGCCGCTAGCTGGCTTTAAATTCAGCCGGCCAATTAGCGGCGTGCTGCGCGGTGCTGTGGGTGTTGTGCACCAATTTCTCTTATGGAAATCTGAAGGATTATTCATCTTATTTCTACCAGGGGTCTTGAGTGTTCGCAGTCTCTCTCCGCAGTGGTAAAACGCATACGAGTGCTATAGGTCAGGCAGCAGGAATGCAGTACATCAGAGCAAGTGTGGAGGACCCGCTCCTGTCAGATGCTCCGATTTGTCGCATCCGAATAACACACCAGCATAGTGTTGATCAATTGCAAATTTGATTCAAATCTCCTATACCACGACTCCTTTATGAGGTGCTGGAAGGGATGCTTGGACTTTACACTACAGTTTTCTTGTTAAGACAAGGTTTAGGGTCTCTGTGTCAAGTCTTTCTATTTTCTAAGAGTTAATTTCCAATGTAATATTTGAGGAAATGCATATGTGTGTGTATGTGTAGGCAGCATTGCCAACTGCTGTCTGGGATTCTCATACCCTGTTTAATGCATCTCTCTTGGTCTCTCTCTCTCTTAGATATTTGTGTTGACAGTCTGGCTTTGGGAGCTGTTCATGTTGCCCCTCTTCCTCCTCCTGCTCATTGGCTGGAACTACTTCCACATCACACCAGGCATGGCCAGCTCCAGTCAGGACTTGGTGAGTGCTGTGATGTCGCCCACTCAGCTGCACAGAAAATGGCCCCTAATAAGTCAGAGTCTGTGCTGGTGACTCACAGGATTTAGAAATGACAAGCATCAGTTTAAAACCTCACAGATTCTACTGAAGAATGATTAGAAATATTAATAGACGTTATGTCTACAGATATCTGATGTCATATACAGTACAGTACCTGCCAACACATTCTTTTATGCTCACCAAGGTTGCATTTATTTAATCAAAAATACAGTAAAAACAGTAATATTGTGAAATATTACAATTTAAAATAATTGTTTTCTATTCAATTTTTTTTAAATGTAATTTTCAGCATTATTACTCTAGAAATATTGCAACAGAAATCATTCTAATATGCTGATTTTCTGCTCAAGAAACATTTACTATTATTATTATCAATGTTGAAAACAGTTTTTGGTGCTTAACATTTTTGTGGAAACAATGATACCATTCAAACATTCGTGGTAAGATTAAAAAAAAAAAAAAGCAAGATGAATCAATACTTTTATTTAGCAAGGATGCATTAAATTGATCAAAAGTGCCAGTGAAGACATTTACAATATTACAAAAGATTTCTATTTAATAAATGCAAATTAATAAAAGTATTCCACAAAAATGTTAAGCAGCACAACTGTTTTCAACATTAATAATAAGAAGAAATGTTTCTAGAGCAGGAAATCAGCATTCTAGAATGATATCTGAAGGATCATAGACTAATGTAACGATGAAGATTGTGCTGAAAGTGTGAGAATACGACTGTGGGATGATATGAAACAAGCACAGCAATGTAGGAAACCCGATATATAGTTTATGGTACTATCCGAATGTTGCTTTACCACTCAGAATGAAGTATTCCAGGGAGTCATTAGATCATTTACAGCACATTATACACCTTACAAGACTGAAATAAGTATTTTTCACAGCATTTCTAAAGACATTAATTGGTCAGCCCTTCCTAATTAGATCCATGTTATCTATAAATTCAACATTAACAAGGGTTAAGATGTCTGAAATGCTCCTATCACTCTTGGTCGTGAGTTTGAACGTAGCAGTCACACTTTGAGTGACCTTCATCTCCAGTGGGTTGTGTAAACTGCATTTGAGTCTTTGAGCAAAACTCTTTGTGCACCAGCAGCCCGTCTCAGTGCCGCATCTCAGGCTCGGGACGGGGCTGTGTGCTCTGGCACCCAGAGTGCCACAGTTACATTCAATAGCCAGAAAGGGTCAGGGATGACTTAAGAGCGGTCTAGGCACCCGAACGGCCAAGATTAAATGCATTCCTTTTGGTTTCAGGTGCATGTGTGAGTGTGTGTGTACGTGTTTGTTGTGAAGAAATTAGATTGCTTGGTTGTGACATCGCTCTTGTGAGGAAGGCCCTTCTCATTCACCTCCTCCTTTTGTGCGAGGTCACCCGAGAGGCAGTTGCTACGGCAACAAGGCCTCTCCCAATGGGGGTGTATATACAAGCGAAGGTTTCATTACGAGGTGTTTGTTAAGAAAATGCTCCATTGCCCACGTGTGTCTCAATCTCATCCGCTCTCTGTCTCTTTCTTCTTCTTTTACAGGAGAACATGTCCGTGGCCGAGGACGAGGACGAAGATGAAAAGGTATTTTGCCGGTGTCATGCGTGGTTTTTGATTAACCGCTGACTTTTATAGAGCCTCTCTGAGCTGTCCTTGGGGTTCTGCATAGATGGACTGTACCTTTAATTATTATGCGTTAAACTCAGGACTGCAACTTAAATACGTTTAAAATGAGGACAGACGATTCAGCAAGCACATTTTCCCTCCAGTACTTTCACACCAGTCCTCTGGGAATCCTCGCTCATACAACAAATGGATTTGGTTGCTTTGCTGTGGTCCTTTGAAACGCAGAAATAAGCACAGAACGGCATCATTAATTGAAGTTTGCCTTCCGCTGGGGAATAGAGGCATTGTAAGGATTTTGAGGCAGGCATGGCTAAATAGGGAGGCTGGACTGCAGTTGAACTCCTCCTTTTAGCATTTTTTTTTTTTTTTTATGCTTAAGATGAGTCATTAGACTAATTACAAATTCTCCCAAATCTGCTTAGATCCAATTATTATTCAAATATTCAGTCATTAAAAAGAAAAAGAAACATCCTTAATTTTTTTTGCCTTTGAAAATCAACAACATTTAAGCTGGTATGGTTTCGTTGTGTGGTGCGTGTGGATGGTAAACTGTCATAATGGTCAAAATCTGAATGCTGAGTGCTTAATAAATTCATAATGAGGCAGGGCAGGCTCATAATCATTTTAGGCCACGCTGTCTGGTCCAGAGAAGAATGAGTTAACAGGAAGATAATGCGTTATTGCTTTCTGACTTGGATGTGCGGAAGTGCGCAGCTCGAAGCCTCCGAGCGCTGACCCTTGCGCTGTACGGCTAGGGCCTAGGATTCATATTCATAATGTGCTCAATATATTCTGCTATGATGACCGCAGGCTAGCTTCATCTGTTGAGAGGAACCCCTCTGTTAAAAACAGCTCCCTCTTCCAAATCCTATCCAAGCCAAGCAGATAATTCACGGATGAAACGCATGATATGTGTGTGCATGCACATTAGTTTACGCCCAGCAGCTAAACAATTGTAATATATCTTGGAGGGAGAAACCATGAGTTTGTGGTAAAAAAAAAAAAGAAAAAAGAAAAAAAAACGACATATAAGCCTTATAAATATTTGGATTTGGGAATGTGTCCGTTTAAATTAGGATAATGTCATAAAATTATATTAGTTTCATAATGTCATAAGTATAATTAGCTTGGAATATTGTAAAAAAAAATTGACCTTGTCCGTTCTTGGACTGCCTGTGCATGTATTTATTTGTATTATTTCATTATAATTACAAGTAATAGAATTAACCGTATTTTTCTAGTGAGATATATTGTGTTTTTACACCCTTTCACGTCTTGTGTAAATTAAATATCTCCTTTCATTTATCAAATTACCCAGATGTCCATGTTTATTTTAAGTTGTCAGCTCTAATTTAAGATGGCGTGTTTCAAAGTCCTGTTATGTTTTTTCACTTTGACTTCAGTTTCACGCAGGCAGATCAAACAGTGTAGCGTTACACTTCCTATCAAAGTCATCGCAGCTAATGTTATGGGGTTGGAGAATGATCGGTGTTAAATTTGATCACTTCAAAGGTGCCGTTTTTCCCCTTCTCTTTGGTTAACATGGGGATAAAGGCTGTCCCCTCTGAGGAGGTTACGGTTACCGCCCGTTTTTCAGTATGTTTTCCCCTGGAGGAAGAGAATATGTAAACCTACAGCTGCGATGGAATGAAGCTTAAGAAAGTCGATGGGAGAAGCCGCGATACAATAACAGATCTCCTCTACGAGCACGAATCTGTCCTGGGGGAGAGAGAAATGTACAAATCACGATGTAACTTCCCTTCGGCTTTCGGTATCAATCGTGTCGAGCACACAGACACTGGTTTAAATCACATCAGAAAACGAGAGGATAGAAGAGAAAACAACCCCCTGGATGCGTGTCCTAAATGACCGAGAGGCCCTGTTCCCTGGGCACAGGTCACCTAAGAGTACCAGGCTTTGGCTAGACCCCCCTCTTCCACCGTAGCCCAGGGTATCATCATCGGTGCTCTTCTAACCCTCAAGCCCTCTCCCCCCTCACATCTAACATATCACCTTCAGCACACACCACAAGGACAGAGTGTTGATGTCATAATCATTGTGTATTCCAGAGTGCACAATCCTGTGACATATCCATTAGGGAGCGCTGGGTGTTTTGTGCTTGTTTGTACGGTGGTTGTTGGCTTTAACAAACCCATTTGCAACACATTTAGCCAATAACGCAGGTGTTTTATTTAGGTGCGTTCCTCTGGTTATTCCGTTGTGGAATAAGTGAGTCGCGAATATTTGCACCAGCTTTGAATGAATATTCAAATTTGATGCCATTTACCCAATTACAGGAATGTTAAATGATGTGTTTTTTTTTTTTATTGTGCCGAGCATCCCTGTGAAAATGCATTTTCTGTTTGCCTTTGTGCAATCTGTTCCCTATTAAGCCAACATAAAAGTTATGTGACAATTTCATTTGAATTGAGAATATGATCTGACACAGGTTTTCTAATCAGTAGACATGTAGCGCGGAGAGTTTATTTATGGTGAAAAAAATTCAGAGGCGAAAAAAAAAAAAGGCTGTCTGACTTCAAGGGAGTTCAGAAAGATGAATTGCAAAAGTCCAGAGAACTTGTATATCATGCTTCTATGCATGCTTTCACTGTCATCTTTTGGTCTCCATTAATATGAATATTTCATGTTTGTCATTTTAAGACTTTACAGCCTTATCAAAGCAATCTGTGACAAACGTTACCTCAACATGTACAGTGAACCTTAGTTTTGGAAACTAAAAAATATCATTAGATAACAATATTAAAGCAAGTTGACACCTGCAACACAAAACAATAGGTGGAGTTCATCACATTAACTATGGGCATGATCACACTTTATTTTTGAACAGCATCGAACAGATCTTTTATAATCTTACAGTTTACAACATATTTCTATATTTATTTACTATACAGTTTACTATATTTATATTAGGTGGCTTGCATTGAGGAAAGATTGAAAAAGTCAAAACTGAGCTTTTTATACTACTCAAGCTCAATTGTGCTCATAAGTTTACGTATGCAAATATCAGTTTGTTAATGTTAAAATAGAAAAAAGTAAATAAAAAGAAACATATTATGAGATGTAGAAAGAACCAGATTTTTTTTTTCTCTGAGCATAAGTATTATTGTTTTTTAAATAAACTAGCAAACCTATAAAACGTCTTGTTTTGCTCGAAAATAAACTGTGAACTATTTCTTTTAAATAATCCCCACTTGATTTGATATTTTGTTATCTATTATGTGGCTTAAGTGTTCAACTATTTTTTTGGGAGCACTGTAAGTTCATTTTTCTTGCGGTTGGTCGAGAGTCATTAAGCAAAGAAACACTAAAGACATTTGAGCTGAAATCAAACACAGTTGATACACTGAAAGAATATATCATCTTCTGCACTTTATCCTCCTTTGACACTTTCCTCACAAATGAGGGATTTGAAATGACTCATAACAGGAGGCATGTTGATTTTCTCTTGATTGATATCCTAGTCTCTGTGTACGGACATGCTGTGTGTCGCTGGAGTCGACGGGTTGTGCTGAGTGGAGGCATGACTGGCTTCCCATGGTTCCCTGTGTCTGGGGCCGAATGGAGAGTGACAGTGGGGAGTCTGGACTGAGCTTTCCCAGGGGCCGACTCACCAGGCCCGCTGTCTGGGGGACGATCGCTTATACAAACATATACAGCGCTCGATCACACGTTTGTCCCCCCCCCATACTATCCATCATTACTCCTGTCATTATTCCATCCTTTTGATGTGAGGGCTTCTCGTTTCTCTCTCTTTCTCTTTCTTCTCTTCCCCCTTTGGAGAACTATACTCATGGGCTCTTATGCTGGAGGATTTCTCTGATGTGATCATGTTGCTTTGGACGTTAGATTACCCTAGCAATCTTCTTTAAGTAAAATGGAATAGAATTTCTCTCTTTTTTTTCATCGAAAGTCCATTTAGCCCATGTCTCTGAATTACATGGCAACCCAATACTCTGTGATGCATCAAAATACAAAAAGACAATGGGATTTCCCATCTCTCTTACAAGAAGTAAAAACATTGCTTTGTATAACATGATTACACTCAGACATTGCAATCTTTCTCCCACGAGCTCAGATACAGAAAACGCTAAATCCAATGATTTCAACCCTGCACTCAATCTTGCCATAAGGTGGGCAACTCTGAGTTTTCATACGCCAAGAACTGGTACTCGAAAAAGCTTGCAACCTAGGAAACGAGCCAAGACTTGCCCGGCAGAGAGACTCGTGGATTAGACGACCTCGCAAGTTGGCGTCTTACGCCGTCTGTGTTCTCTAACTCCCGAGTCCGTCACACACTCTCTCTCTCTCTCTCTCTCTCTCTCTCTCTCTCTCTCTCTCTCTCTCTCTCTCTCTCTCTCTCTCTCTCTCTCTCTGTATGCTTTCTGATTGCCATTTTTACATCTTTTTCCTCCTCCGCTTAATCTTTGATTGTGATGCACCTTTATTGTTTGCGCCTGACAAATGCTGAAATACTCCTAGATTCGTGACAGCTCTGGAGGAGAGGCTGACACATTTTCACGTCTGAGGAGATGTTACAGAAGCTCATTACAGGCCATTGACTAGATGAAATACTGGTGATGGCACTCTGGAAATAAACTGCTCTTCCTTTGTAGGCTTCTAGCAGCTGACTTCCCTCATCAGTCTCTGTCTTTTTTTTCTTTCTCTTCAGGAATCAGAGAAAAGAGGACTGATGGAAAAAATCCACATGGTTCAAGAAATTGTGCTTACAGTTCAGAGCACTTTAGATGAAGTGGCTTGCATCGGGGAAAGAGTGAAAAAGTAAGAACGGAGGATTTTATACATCTTCTGAAGCTCACATATGCAGTTGTGCTCATACGTTGTTTATCAAATAGCTTCATTAATAAAAAACAAAATGCATTTTATGTGTCCTTTTATTAAAAAGACTGTTTAGTTCCACGTTTAAAGGGATAGTTCACTTTGAAATTAATTTTTGATATGTTTTAGCTTACCTCAAGGGCATCCAAGATGTAGGTGTCTTTGTTTCCACAGAAGTTTCAATTTTGATATTTTTAGGTCAAACCGTTCTTGTCTGTCAGTCATATAATGCAGGTCTATGGTCACCACCTCAAAGAGCATGCACAGAGTCCAAATTAAACATGATTTAATGACTCGTAAATGTAAGGAGACATTGATGGCCTAAGACACGAAACGAGCGGTTTGTGTGAGAAAACGAACAGTATTTATATCGTTTTTACATCTTGTAACCACAGGCACGTCCAAGTTATCTGAGGGCGCCGGCGCTTCGGTCTGTGCGTTACAAGATGTAAAAACGATATAAATACTGTTCGTTTTCTCACACAAACCGCTCGTTTCGTGTCTTAGGCCATCAATGTGTACTTACATTTACGAGTCATTAAATCATGTTTAATTTGGACTTCTCTGTGCATGCTCTTTGAGGTGGTGACCATAGACCTGCATTAAATGACTGACAGACAAGAACGGTTTGACCTAAAAATATCAAAATTGAAACTTCTGTGGAAACAAAGACACCTACATCTTGGATGCCCTTGAGGTAAGCTAAAACAAATCAAAAATTAATTTCAAAGTGAACTATCCCTTTAAATTAAATAAATAAATAGAGAATAAATCTATAACGTTTTCAGAATTAAGTCATATTATTATGAGATGAATGCTAATGATAATGATATACAATAAGCAAGGATTTCTTTGTTGGTAAACTATCCCAAAGTATGATCTAAATCTTTAAATCCATTTCTTGCATTTTTGCTGCTACTTGGGTGAACTATTGTAACTATTCATGCCTTTTCATTATATAATGTCAATTTTATTTATGCAATATTACGCCTTTAATCTCCACATGTTTATTCTCAAATGTTTACAGCTTTATTCTGATAATTTTATGTTGTCTTAGATTTTTATTTTACTTTGCACTGAAACACTGTTATAGCAAGGAACCTGAACTGTTAATAAGGTACATGTCCAAAAATAGCGTACATGTATTTATTCATATATGATTTATGAAAATTAATTAATGACTTGTGTCTCCATTGACAGCACATTCAACTGGTCAGTGCCGTTCTTGTCATTCCTGGCCTGCCTGGCTCTGTTTCTGGCGACTACCTCCTTGTACTTCATCCCACTGCGCTACATAGTTTTAGTGTGGGGTAAGTAAGTGAGACACCATGTGTAGCCCTTTCACCCAATCATGCGTGATACTCCAGTGCTGCTGTTAAGCTGTCTCCACTTTCCTTTAAATGGAAGTCATGCAGAGGTGTTTTAGAAAGAATCACACTTTACTGTCTCTGAGCTTTGAGCTCGGACTCCTTTACTGACGCCTGACGAAAGCTATTTAAAAAGTGATCCATTTCCATAACTCTACATGTGACAGCTGATCAGAATCATGAACATGATCCGCGGTTGGCTGGGGAGACCAGCTGCACTGAGGCTTTGCAATCTTGTGAAAGTTTGATGTATGTACAGTTAGAAAGAAAGAGTTAGTGAGCGTAGGCATTATTCTGCCGTATTAATGCCCCTAAATGTCGATTAGAGGTTTCACGTATATGATGATTAGTTTTGATGATTGGAAGAAAAGAAATTCTTGTCTTACAATATGGAATAATATGTAATATGCACAAGTTTGGGGTCAGTAAGATTTTGTAATGTTTATGAAAAAAAGTCTCTTGCATTTATTTGATCAAAAATACAGATTTTCTATTTGAATATATTTTAAAATGAAATTTTCAGCAGCTATTACTAGCCTTCAGTGTCACATGATCTTTCAGAAATAATTGTAATATTCTGATTTGCTGCTCAAGAAACATTTGAGTATTATTGGTATATTATTATTCATACCAATGTTGAAATAATTTGTGGGGCTTAATATTTTTTTGTGTAAACTGACACATTGAATACAAAGTTCAAAAGAACAGCGTTTATTTAAAATATACTTTTTTGTAACATTATAAATGTCTTTACTGTAGCTTTATTTGATCAATTTAATGTGTCCTTGATGAATAAAATAAATAATTTCTTTATTTAATAATAATAATAATAAAAAACATGTAAAAAAAAAAAAGTGTGTGATGCTATCCAAAGTTGCGAAATTAACTTGTGCACAAAATCGGAATATTGTATAAAACATTTGCGAATAAGCATCGTTTCCATCCAGTGAGTTGAAGAGAACAAAATCTTCACTTCCTGATAAACTGTTGCCAAATATTACTAAGAAAAGTTTAAATTGCTGCAGCAGCAGAAGCCACTGTGGGTATTTTTTCCGTATATAATAAATTACTTGCGCCTCAGAGCACGCATACAAAACACGATAAATGCTGGCATGCTATCTTTCTTTCGGAGGCCGATGCCTGCTGTTTGGGAACGCAGTCGTTAAAGACAGTTCTGGGAGGTCATTATACCGAACCACTTTGATGACAGACTTTGGCGTAGGCATTTCAGAATGACCGAAACAACATTTCAGATGCTGTGGAACACGATCATATCGTGTAGCCACATCTTTTTTGATGTTCATCGAGGAATTCTTTCGGTAAATGTGTTTCCGGCGTTTGTTTTCTAATCGGATAAAAAAATGGAACTGCCTCAATACATTTTTTTTTTTAATTCATGCGCATCTTGGCGTTTCCATTCAGCGTTTTTTATGCGATATCCCTAAATGCACATAAAAATAGGTGGATGGAAACACAGCTAGTGTCAGCGCAATGCTTTGCTCTTGTTGCAGTTAAATGGCATCACAAATACAGCAGTAGTGTGAACCGCGATATACCGTATACTCTATACATTTATTTATATGCACCTCCAATCACATAGCAGTATGAATTACAGCAGATAAAGTGACAAATGTTTGTTTGGTCAAGGTTTGATTAGCCAGTAAGATACCTGCAAGTGCGGCGGGTAACTGTATTTATTAATGTGTGCTTGTTTTCACAGGTGTTACCAAATTTACCAAGAAGCTTATCAACCCATATGCCGTTAACACAAATGAAATACTGGATTTTCTCAAGAGGGTGCCTTCTGATGTTCAAAAGGTAAGGGTCCGGTTTTACATTTAGAGAGAGTGGGAGGGACGGAGAAGGAAGGAATTCCCTGAAGATGTCTGCATTATTTGCTCTAACAGAATTCCCAAGTGTTACCCAGGATATTTCCTCTGGCTGTGTTTGATTATTAATGGACTCGTGCCTTTAAAGGCGGCCCCCGGCCCAATTATTTCCCAGCATGTCTTGATGGAGTCACCCGGCTGCCTGGATGGGGTCCGCTCTGATCTATCCTCGGCCGTAACGCTTCAGCCTTGTCCCTGATTATCAGTTTTGTCGGCCTGTGATAAAAGAAGGGTGCTGTAGAGGGTTCAGGGATTGCTAAGGGGTCGGTGTCTGCACACTGGCAGTGTGGCGGCCCCCGTCACATCAGGTTGGAGGACTCGATTAATGAAGTGTTGAGCCAACGCTGTCCTGCTGGGCGCCATATGTGATGAAACATTATCCATGGCTGATATGTCATTCAGGGTTACATCATAAGCCCGCGGATGTGCAGCCAAACGCTGAGAGTCTCGCTCTGTCTTTCGGACCTTGAGTGCGATTCAGAAGTCGGGATCCAAAGCAGGTCCTACTGTGACAAAGCGTTCTGCATAGGCTACTTTTCTCCATCAACATGGCTATTTAACTGTTGTCAATGCTTCATGTCCTGCTCAGATACTGGAGAGCTTGAGTGATTGGCTCAGACAAACCTCCTGGGATGAACCTCTGCAACTTTACGTTAACATATGTCAGTGTGGATAGATGAAGCCAGCATGACACACTGGTTTTGGCATGTGGAAGCAGCAAGTTGGCAAAACAAGATGGAAACCATTGCTGAGTTTTTAAGCCTTTTGAAGTATGTTTTCGTGGTTGGATGAACTGCCTGCTGTTCATTTAAACGGAACGCACCAAAAATGGGAAGAGAGAATGATCTTTAGCAACAAAAAAAGCAAGCCACTTTTTAAAGAACAAAATGCCAATAAAACGGCACAGTGGTCATTAACCATACCAAAAAGGTATGCAAATCCTTGCTGTCCCCGTTAAGTTTACAATGTTCGAACCTTAATGCTAAAAAAAAGGATTGACCAAATAAACAGCACGTTACAAAAGCTCAAATTGACTCCTGTCTCACGGTTCCGAAAATGACTTGGCAATTAGTGCCTGTGCAGTTCTTCAAACACAAACCCTCAAAACTGGACTTCATACAGCGGCCCTCTGTCCTAAAATAAGCAGCATCTGTCAGTTCTGAGGACAGTTTCATGTTCTGAGGCTGCCGCGTCTCTTTGTTCCCTTGTGCTCCATCTCCCATTCTCATAATCAGGGCCTGGTAATTAGTGTGCAGTCCCTACCTTGCAGATACACCTCCAGGTTATTGTTTCGAAGAGAAACAAACAAGAAAATCATTTGGACGCATTCTCCACACTTTCGAGTCCCATCAGCCTCATGCCATATTTAATTATTTGTCGATTCTGTACGTCGTTTGGACTGAAGGGTGGCCTTGGACAAGAAAAGATGCCTTTAATGCCATTTTCAGAGGCGGATGTTACTCTTTAACTGTGAAAGGAAAATCAGAGTGTTTTTGGAGGTTCTTGCGATCCTGGAGCACCTGGGCTTGATAATGTGTCTGAAACGCCAATGAGCTTGCTGTTCAACCTTCAAATACTTGGACAGTGTTTGCTGTAGTAGTTTGTAGCGTGCTTTCAGAAATTCTCCACCTTCCCCAGCTCCACCTGTATAAATCTGCTATGGGTAATGCATGTATGTTATATTGTAAAGCAGCAGCATGTCTTACTTGCTCACAGCATACGTGTCGTGTATGTACTGGCAGTGGCAGGTCCTACAGTAGGCAGTACTTGCTCTGCAGCAAACATATTAATATTGTCATATCAATAACCATGCCAAACACTCTGAGAAATGATCAATATGGAAATAATTTGAAGTTGATGGAAAATAAATCTGTAAAATAGAGTTATACTTTAGATAGCAACTTCTGGATTCACTGTAGTTTGCGAGGTTTGTGGAAAAAAATATTAATTCGAAATTCAAAGATTAGTTTAAACTAATAATATAAATGCATACTGTATTTGCTGAATGCTGACAGCATATGAGAAAGTACTACAAGGTTTGCCTTTCTATCAGATATACTGTAATACTGTTTCACATACCGTTTATCTTCTTTGTTAACAGCTCTGTCTAATAAATTGAAACATAATAAGGTACAATAAAGTAGTGAAGATGGAGAAAGGGATCTTCTGTGCGTTTGCACTCAGGCGCTGGTGTTCCCAGCACTGTCAAAAAAAAATTCCTGGTGCTTCCAACCCCTTATTTGCCAATAATTAAAAAATGCCAGGTCGAAACTAGTTAAAGTTTTTAACTGAAATGCAGTTGCATCTGGAGTGTAAAACTAAATTTGGTACATCAGCCCATTTATTAGTCACCACATCACATTATGACATTTTGCGGAAAGAGAAGGGCCGACTTTCCAGTCATATAGCAATTTCTTAATTGTTGAACACTTTAACTCCATATCTTTTTGGCTGTCTAGAAGTTGTACGTAGATACGCTGTGAGCTCCTGGAACAAATCTTTATTCAGTTTCTCATACCTCAGTGAAACTCTACTTTCATCACGCCGACCTTCACCTCCGACCTGAGTTCACTCCCTGCTTTAAGTAAAGTAAACAGCATGTTCATCTGAAACGAGGGAAGTGTGTGATCATCTGTAACCGCAATGCCCCAGCCGGAGCCATACAGGCACTTACTCCTGCCTACAAGCTGCTATAATTAGTCTCCAACAAACTTTTCTCAGGAAGGACACAACTCGCAACTCCTCGGTTTGCGAGGACCTAAGACAGCGGGTCTGCTCAACCAGTATAGTTCCCTTATAGGTGGGGGTGGTACAGTCACCGCTGTGTCGGTACGGAACCCTTGACTTTTCAAATCTTTCCTCCTTGTGATTAATCCCCTCTGCTCCTGTGTTTAAAACATGATTCATTACAGGCGCGCCCGCCTGGCTTTCCCCCTGCACCGGCTCTCCTCAGGGGAGCCATTACCGTGAGCGGGCCTCAGCTCCGATTACCTGCGTCTGACCAAAGAGCTGTTTGTTTTTACAGGTGCAGTACAGCGAACTGAGAGCCGAGCTCGGCAACCAGGGCCCGGTGAAGAAGAAACGCTTGCGCTGAAACCCGATGGACGTGTCGGATGAAAGAGACGGGCGGCGTTTCAGGACACGGTCTGTTTAAGTCATATTGCCCCTGTGCGAGTGGAGGAGGAGCCCCCTTGTGCCAAGCCATCCGCATTGCCACTGAGGTGTATTCATCGACTGTGTTGTACTGTGTGTGTGTGTGTGCTTATATTTGTAATTTGTGTGTGTGTGAGAGAGAGAGAGAGGGGCCCCTGGTGACGGGGTCTTTGGCCCTCGTGAACTCGTGGTCACAGTATCTGAGGATATGAAGGTAAAGGCGGGCTTCACCAGCCTCTGCATGTGGTCACGCTGAAATGCAATGAAATACGACACAGCCTATTCATATATTAAAGTCTTTTTAGAGACCACATTCTGGTTCATTTAACAAAGGAAAAATTAGCCACAAAACATACAGCTCATACGTGCTTCCTGTTGCTTGTGTTTACAGCAGGAAATATTTAAATGAGGGTAAAATATTTATAACTCTTAATACAATGGAAAATACTAAATGTCATTAAATATTGTTATTCATGCAAAAGCAGCCTACTGTTCAAGACGACGTTTTAATCTGTAATGTTTTTTTTATATATTAATCTTCCATGTTTTGTACGTTTATGCTGCAGATAAAGATGAAATGAAGAAGATAACTAAAAGTTTGACTTCTTAAATGTGTTTTTCTTCTCTCGCATCCTTAACTCCGCATTGTTTGTGAAGGATACACAGCATTATTACCCGGGCCACACTTCAGAAGAGGATGCTGGTCACTGTTGGAGGAAAACATCAAAGTCTCAGTGTGTCCAGAGCAGTCAGCTAATGCACCGCTTTTGTAGTTCGCTGACAATAACAAGGTCCAGATGAGAGAGCTCATCTCTCATAAAGAGGGAGGGAGATTGAGAGAGAGAGGAAGAGAGAGAGTGAGTATATACACTCCATACCCCGCACTTAGCGTCTCCCATTTTCATTAAAATCACCTCCAGTGCCTAATGGCTCTCTACTAGACCCATCACTCTGTAGTGTTAGCACCAGTGATGGGGCTTCAAGTAGAGCAAATGGAGATTTCCTGCCTCATCAACTTATTTATTCATATTACAGACATATTTCAGCCTCTCTCCGCTATCAGAGAGTCATTTTTATAGAAAGCAACATTTCCAAAGTGGTGCATCTTGAATATAGGCATTCGGAGTGTTGATTTGAAATCAATATTAACCGATTATTAAGATATTAACAGAGTTAACACTGAAGGCTGTGTTCATTTTTTACAACTTGGTCCTTCGACTGATTTACAGGGAAAAGTTTTTCAAAGAAATGTAAAACCGAACAGAACTTCCTCAGAAGGTGTCTGCTCGCTCAATAATTTAGCGAGCGAGGTAAATAACCGAGCGGATGCTTTGTAAAAATAGCCTTAGCAATACAGATGAGCCCTAGACCCCAGCTCAGGGAGTTTGTTCAGACTGATTGGAGTGCTCAGCGTCCCAGCCTGCCCCCCTCCTTCTCTCCCACCCTCCCTTCACTGCTCTGCAGTTTGGTGCTGGTGAAAGGGCATCGGTTGGTGCAGCGTGAAGAGTTTGATTGGCTCTCAGGGACCTGCCGGAGCCTGGGGCTATCTCTTTTGACAGTCTGATAGAGACATCACGGCACTCTCCCAGGAGCTGCCACCGGGGGTCCGATTCAAAGCGAGGGGGAGTGGAGGTGACCCGCGATGCTCTGATGAGAGAAATCCCACACACAAACTCCTGGACCGTCTCCACTGGGGGGGCCACAGAGAAGGGAGAGGATGGAGGGGAGGGGCAGTGTCCCTTAGCTCAGTAAATGAGACCCCATCAGATGTCTGCGTGAGGTGAAACCAATTAAACAATGCTTGCAGGAACGCTCTAGTCGTCGGGTTAGCACCAAAACTTGAAAGCGAGCCTGTAAGTGGATGTGAAGTGTTTGTGCTGGAGGAGAGAAACGGTCTTCAAAAATTCAAGACCGTCTCCAAAACGCAGATGAAATGAGAGGCTGCCGATTGGAATCTCTTATAAAGAGAGCTCGTGTTGACAAGTGTTTTTGGGTAAACTGCCTTGATTAAAATCATGCTTTGATGCATAAGGCATTTTAAAAAGTCAAATTGTGGGCCTAATAGACAAAAATGAACACACAAAATAGAAGTGCTAACATTCAGTTCTAACAAACTGGGAATCACTTTTTCAGTGAGAATCACATGGCCTGCGACAAGGTGTATGTGGTGTATGCGGTTAAGCATATTTTGCTGTTTATTGCATTTTACTATTACGTTTTTATCAAGTAAATAAAGTTAATAAAATAAAAATCCTGAAAATAAAGATTGGTTTACTAATCGGACATTGCTAATTATTAAATGCACTATCCATTAACTAACCATTTACAGTTTCATATGAATTTTGGGATCATAAAAATATGAATAGAAACACCAAGATGCAAATGAAAAAAATGTATACACTCACTTGAGGCGGATATACTTTTTCTGACAGTTTGCCCAGAGAAGTGACTATATTACACTCTTGAAAACATAAGATATAAATGTTGCGTGTTTTTACAATATCTACATTTTTCACAAATTCAATACACATTTAGAAACAGAGGTAGTGATCCAAGACAATGGACACACTATGTAATCTTGTTTCCCCCTCTCCTTTTGTGTTTTCTAATAAACAAAATCATGTTTAAAAATGATCAGTTTGACTCGGTCTCCTGGGATTGGAACATCAAATCTCTATAGATTACTAAACAGGCAATATGGTCCCCAAACTCACTAATGAACATCTCATCCACACAGCAGTTAACACTGCTTGCATCATTCTCTCTCTCTGTTTTCCTTCAGTAGTTGTTGTTTTGCTGGGTATGAAGCTGATGTCTTCATCAGGCTGTCAGAAAGGAAGCGCCTGCAGCTGTGGCAGGTCCCCCAGAGCCTGTCGCACTCCTTGTTTCCATGGTAGTCCTTCAGGCAGCACCATGGGCAGACTGTGTGCAAGGACCCCTACAACCTGTTTTTTTTTTCTCCTTTCCTGATATGCAGCCCCGAAGCGGGCATCAAACCACAACACCAAATAGCGAGAGTGCTGCGATACATTCTTTGCAGGTGCCGCATTCTCTTTCAGAAGCAATGCCAACCAAGTTTCATTAGAATAAGATGCCCCTTTTCCTCAATTATTGTTACAAGGGTGCTTTCACAGTGAAACGACCCTCCCTCGACGAATCTTCATAAGCTAAAGCTTCTTGTTAATGCAAAGATGACTCATTGCTTTACTTCTGATTTGTTTTCCTCGCTAGTAAGTCAAAATAAAAAGACATCAGAGACTCGCCGTGTTGCTGTGGGGCTCGCCATCGCTGTATTGAGATGGCTGAGGTCAGGCCTCAGTTCCTCCAATAACGTGGAAGGGCTTTCCTGGAATCACTAATGAGATCCAAATGACAAGACTGATTGTTTTTACTCTTCCCGGGGTGGGCCGCACCAACCGAGGACCTTAACCTACATGCGGAGCCTGTCGAAGAGATTCCCGCTTCTCCTTCTTTTGAAGGAAAACCACTGTGGCTCAATCCGCAACGTGTGTAGATGAACAAACACTAGCCGACGTGAGAGCAAAGATTACAACCAGCAGTGGGTACAAATATTAATTATATTTTAAAGTCATGACTGCAATTGAGCCTGCGGGTGCTCGCCGCTGTTCTGTTGGCATGTTATTTATAAAGTGGGCGTATTACGCTCACTGACACCGAGATGTAATTTCTCGCAATACATCAAGTGTGCAGGGCTAGCCTTTAAGAGCTTAAATTAAGTCGCTGGCCTTTAAAAGCATCTCTCTTAGGGCCCTGTCTGGATTAATAAATTCAACGGATTTGGCTTTAATATTATTCGGAGTGCATTAGAATGTAGCTAACAGCTGGGGTGGTGGCCAGTCTCAGGGGCTGAGATACGGAGTGTGAGTCTGAGGGCAGCGTGGGGCCAAAGGTCCCTCTGTTACAGGTGCGGCCCTGACAGGCTCGGCTCTAGGATCAGAGAGGCCAGGCTTAGATGAACGGAGGATGAGGAGGGCCGCTGACCGCCTCCGAAACAAAGTCACCCTTTCCGCGACTGCAGCGGACAAGCTCTCAGCACTGATAACTGGTTGCGTGCAGCGTGTTGACTTTACATCCTTTTCTTTCCCTTTTATCGTCAAAGCAATGAAATGTTAAACAATGTTAATAGAAAAGGACAACCCTCTTGGTGACGCATTATAACAATAATCAAGAAAAAATGTAGCTTAATAAACATGGGAAATCTCTCTTTTTCCCTTCTAGCGTGAATTGCGTCGCACACCCTCGAGGTTAGACCTTGAGAACAGAGCGCCGAGGAAGTGGAAATTGGCGAAACGATAGAAAAGAAGATATGGAGACGGAAAGAAAGAGAGAAAGACACCTTTGTTAGCTATCTGCTGTCGCCTCAATGGTCTGCGTTTAGCGCGCGCACGCCCCGTCAGGCAACAATACACAGAATAATTTAACCGCATATTTCATTTTAATTAACTGTGATATAATGCAATGTGACTCTTAGCCTCCAGAGGAAAGAACACAATATTTGGCTTGATGAATCTACTGGAGCCACTCGCAGTTTCTCTTCTCACCTCATGGGATTCAGGTATCATTAGAGATAAGCAGAGATCTGCTTTCTGTCTCGCATTTAAAAAAAAAAAAAAGGTGCAGACACATGGGTGACTACAGAAGTGTTCAATATTAATAGCCTTTCATCAAGGACACAATTAGGACACCTCTATTTGACACATTCCATAGGAGTCAGATGAATATGTATATCTGGTGTTCTGGAATGTGCCATTGCACAAAAAGCGACAGGGTGAAATCAGACTTGCACAAAAAGACAATGGCTGATTGTTTGTTTTACAATTCGGTCGGTTTCAAGCCGCGCAGCACAAATAGTTTTTAAGCGAAGGTGCAGTGTAGCTGCAAAAAGTGACTTTAACTTTAACATTAAAAATGTATGTGCTTTATGTAGCAAATCTCTGAATTAAAAATGTTGTTTTAACTGACTAAATCAACCCGGGCGACAAATAAGGTTAGATTAACAAAAGTCATTTTTAATGGATAGTAAAAAACGATTTTTTTATGTAACAATTTTAGGTTACCCCCTTTTTAGTGTAGAATATACTCATTTCTAAATA